TAAGACTGCTGACTTTTCATTCCCACTCCGCAGAGGTAGTTTCTTGTATAGTTTTCTAGAAATTTTCTGTGCATATACAATTACTTGTAGGTCAGTTTGTGCAAGTATTACTTTTGTAATATATACTTATTTTTTTAATTAATTTATTTCTGAGATGGGAGTCTTGCTCTGTTGCCCAGGCTGGAGTGCAGTGGCGCAGTCTCAGCTCACTGCAACCTCCACCTCCCAGGTTCAAGCAATTCTCCTGCTTCAGCCTCCCAAGTAGCTAGGGTTACAGGCTTCTGCTACTACGCCTGGCTGATTTTTTTCTTTTTTTGAGACAGAGTCTCATTCTGTCACCCAGGCTGGAGTGCAATGGCGTGATCTTGGCTACCAGGTTCAAGTGATTTTTATGCCTCAGCCTCCCAAGTAGCTGGGATTATAGGCAAACGCCACCATGCCCGGCTAATTTTTGTATTTTTAGTAGAGACAGGGTTTCGCATGTTGGCCAGGCTGGTCTCAACCTCCTGACCTCAGGCAATCCACCTGCCTCAGCCTCCCAAAGTGCTGGAATTACAGGCGTCAGCCACTATGCCTGGCCTTGATTTTTTTTTGCATTTTTAGCAGAGATAGGGTTTCACCATGTTGGCTAGGCTGGTTTCAAACTCCTGGCTTCAAGTGATCCACCTGCCTCAGCCTCCCGAAGTGCTAGGATTACAGACATGAGTCACTGCACCCAGCTGTAATGTACACCTATTTTTATTAGATGATTTGATGACCTTCAAAATTCTCAGAAGGAAAAGCATCATCATTTCCAAAGAGTTTTCCCCTCAAACTACTAGGAATATATGTGAAAAGCTTCAAAACCAATAGAACTTGAAGAACAATTCTTAATGGTGAAAAAAGATAAAAGAGGGCAAATTTCCTCCTTACCTTCTTTGATACATGGGACTCTGCCAAACAGGGTCAGAATCTAATAAAAAGGAAATGGTCCAAAGCTATACCCACACCTATACCAGCACCTGCCCAAACAGGTGAAGCAAATGTCAGGCTGTTAAAATTCATTAACAACAGTTTCTCTCAACTTTGAAAACACTGACTCACATTTCATCTTCTGCTAGAGGTCTTACTCATTTCAGGATCCCTCTTTTACAAGTGGGAAATTAGGTCAGTGATTGCTTTGTAACTTCCTCCAAAGATCATAGTGAAGGTCAGAAATTGAACCAGAACTGACTCTCATTAATATTCACCCCACGCTCCTTTTCTTTCTCTCCACTGGCATTAGCAAAAATGATTAAATCACTGGTTCCCAAAATGTGGCTGTTCAAAACCAACTGGGGTACTTTTTAGAAATACATATTCCTGGTCCCCCCACACTCTAAGATTGATTCAAGTCTGGGGAGCAGATATAATTTCAAAAAGAAGCTCATCACATGATTCTGATGATCAGTACTATTTGGGAACCTCTTACTAAAGACTGCCATCCCTAAACCAACAAAACAACTAACAGCATAATTTAAACATTTTGGGCAAGGGAAAACATCCTACTGACTGCTGGTATTACTAGCATTTTCTGGGCGCAGAGAAGGTTTATCTGTGACATTTTTGGTCTAAACAGCTCACCTGTTTAAGAAATCTGGCAGGCTTGAGATGTCTGACTCCACAAGTTCTTTGACTATCTACCAGTGCTGTCCAATAGAACTTTCTGTGATGATGGAAATGTTTATTATACCTGTGCCACCCAATACAGTAGTTGCTAGCCACGTATGGCTACGGAGAACAAATGTAGCTAGTATTAATGAGGAAGTTTTTAATTTTATTTAATTTTAAATTAAATAGCCACATGAAGCTAATGGCCAGTATATTAGACAGCTTGGGTCTAGACTTCTGAGACCCTTGATTTAACTGGAGCCCTCCCCTTTTCTGACCCCACTCACCTCTACCCAGGGGGACCTCTGAAGAGATCAGGGTCACATAGAGCTGATACGTCAGCTGGGGCACTGAGCCCAGGAAGGCTTGGATCTGTGACATACGTTTGTAGGCATTGCGGTGCATAGCCAGAGTCCGGATGGAGTGGCCCACCTCCCATTCTATCAGCACCTCCTCGCCATCTATTAGCATCTTCTTTCGGGTGAGGCTGACGTAGGGCTCCTCCTGCCCCTCTTTCTTCCACAGTGTGAGGTACTTAATCATGGCCTCCAAACATCTGCAGAAGTAAAGCATCATGGGAACTTAACT